TAGAATGAAAAATAAAAAAAGAGATGAAAAATATCAAACGACATTTATCGCGACACTTGCTGACGAACCGAGGATCTTGATTACTCTTCTATTATTAAAATACCGACAACAACGATATAAACTTTAATATTCGACAAATTTTCTTTTTCTTTACGCGTAAAGATGCACAAGACGTTAGAATACAAAAGTTTTTTACACGTTAATTTTAATGAAATCATTTTAATTTAGCTAAGAAATTTAATAAATCGTGTGGCCGAGCGAAAAAAGACCTGCAAAAGGTTAACGATAATCGTTGATCAAAAGTGAATTAACACGGTAATATTCAAACTGAAATTGGGTGTGAAACAACACCGCGAATAATCCCCTCGAATCCACGAGTTCCCTACCTATAAGACGGGAGGGGGAATCCTTGCGCGGGGCAGAAAAGCGGCAAGCTTCCGTTCGTGTTGGTGGTGAGTCCGATTAGGTTGATCGTAGTGGAGAGTTTGGGGCGTGCGCTCGCCACTGGCTCTGCGCATCGAGAAAAGAAAAAAAAAAAAAAAAGAAGAAAAGGTGCATCCATCCGACCCTCGCCCCGTGACTTACTTGTAAACCGGGACAGGGAACCCTTGGGCGGCGCACAGCAACGTGGCCGGGCCGTCTTTCATCGTACGGAATCCCCTCGTGTCGTCGATCGTAGGAAATTTCGGCCTCACGCTCCCAACCGGCTCTGAATTTTACCACACGATCGCGTTCAAGCGTCTCGTGCTGAGAGAGGGGCCGGGAACCCCTGCACCCTGATGTGTGTGTGTATATATATATATATATATATGTATGTATAAATTTAATAAATTAATTTTTTTAACAACTTTAATTTTATCAAAAATAATTTTTTCATCAATAATTTCACTTATTTCAAGGATTTGTTTAAATAATATTTATAATAATTCAATACTTTTATTAATTTATTTAATTTTGTATTCAATCTATCTTTCAATCATAATATATTTATCATGTTCAATAAATATTTTATTAATTTTAATAACAATAATTCTATTCTTAAGTCATATTTTATTTCATTATCCATTTAAATTAAAACTTTGAATTATTATTCAATTTTTATTTTTACTATTAATATATATATATATATATATATATATATATTTATATATAGGATGTTCGAAAATTTAGGCAAGATTCGAATTTCGCGCCATTTGAGCGGTAAATTTGTAGGCGACGAAAAAGAAAAAAGACAGTTCAGGATTATTGAAAATGGAGCGTTATACGAAAGAATAATTTTTCGTTTTCATTGTTGACCGATATTTTTCAAAAATAACGAAGGTTTTTTTCGAACAAAATCATCTTCAGGGACGACGCTAATTTTCATCTCGATTGGTTGATGGACAAAATTGTCATTGGGATTTAGAAAATCCACGAGTGAGAAACAAATGTATCCACAACGTGTCACTGTGTTTGGTGCGGATTTTGGCGATTGGAGGCATCATATAATCATTTTTCTTTGAATACGGCTGGTCAGGGAATAATGTTAATGTGTGCTCGCTACAGCGATAATCCAGTTTTTGGTGTCTAAATTGCAAGATATGGACGACATGTGGTTCCAACAAGACGGTGCCACATGCCGTACAGGCCGAGAAACAATTTAATTACCGCATGAGTCATTTCCTGGTCGTAATTTCCCGTTTCGATGGTCAGAATTGTGCGGCCAGATCGTGCGATTTTTCGTTGGACTTTTTTTGAGATTTAAGATTCCTTTTTCGAGGCCGACAAGCCTCGAAGGAGGGAATCGAGCGCTGTGTCAAAATTTAATATGGAAAAGCATATGCAAAGCCATTACGCTATTTCATTTCACAACCCTATACTTAATGAATCGATAAAGAATTTTTATAAACCTGGACTTTCTATCAAAAAATTACTTCTTGCGTGAATTTTGACATCCTTTGATATTACGTGTGCAAATTTCTTTTTTCAAATTCATTGTTACGTCAAATCAAGTATCAAGATTATATCGTTTCCTCACCGTCGTCTTTCAAAAATTTCCAAAATCTTTGGCACCACTTTTTGCACTTTCTGCTAAGATACAGCGTTCTCTTTCAGCGCGAGCCATTTCACTAACCTGAACGGCCGATTTCCTAAGCTGAAACGCGAAAAGTAAGCAGCGACTCTTCTTAACCCTTTCGCTACGGGTTAAGATTTCTCCGCCGCGGCAAAAATGTGCTCGAGAAAGATCGTGAGCGGAATCTCGTGAGAGGCAAACACGAATAAAAACAAAATCTTTCCAGAGAAAGACGTAATAAATAAATCGCTCGTCGAGCAATACGCGATCTCATGCGTGGTATCTCATGCAAAACGATCTATAGTATACGTCGGTCAATTTATGGAGAGCGACTTTAGTAACGAAAGGGTTAAAAAAAATAAAGTAACTCTCTTTCGAACCAATTGAAATTTCTGAAGTAACTGGAACTCGGTCGAAAGATCACGATCGCAGAGAAAAAGGAAGGGTGAACGAAATTTTACACCCCCAATTTTTGGAAAGGAAAAAAACTTTCCGTTCTCGATGATCACGTACCTATGATTGGGAACAGGAAATCCCTGCGCCGGGCAGAGGAGCGGCAGCGTTCCATCGGTAACAACAGCGAGACCGTTTATGTTGCTCACGGAAGGGAATTTCGGCCTGACGCTTCCCACGGGTTCTGAGCGAGTTGCGGGGTAAAAAATAAAAAAAAAAAAAGAAAAAGAAAAAAGAAGAGGAGAAGAAGACGAGAATGTGGCTGGTCGAATCACTTACTTGAACACGAGGGCAGGGTAGCCCTGCGCGGGGCAGAGAAGGGTGACCGAGCCGTGGTTGGTCGTTCGAAAACTCCTCGAGTCGTCGATGGTCGGGAATTTCGGCCTCACGCTCCCAACCGGCTCTGATCAAATTGCAATTAAACGAACCATCTGTCTGCAAACCATTCACATCCGTGCGCGCGCACATCTCTCTCAATCCTTTCCTCCTTTCTTCCCTACTCTCTACCTGTTCGAAGGAACCGGGAACCCCTGTGCAGGGCATATCAAAGCCTGGCTCCCGTTCACCGCGCTCCTCAACCCACGCACATCGTCCGTCGAGGGGATCTTCGGCCGGACGCTGCCCACCGGTTCTGCGGTTCACAACGCGCGAACCAATCGTCAACTCCTCTCCTCGATTCGCTCGTTCGCGAACGCGTGGAACGGGCAACCCCCGAGGGAGACAGGCTCTTTCTCTCGAAAAAGAAAAGAAAAGAAAGTTTTCGAGAAGAAAAGGAAAATGCTTATCCAAAAGGCAATCCAATTCCAACCCCCTCTCCCCTCCCCTCTCGTCACAACTTTCATTTCACCTCGTTCGATGCGCGCGATTATCTTGTCATACGAATGATAATGTGTTCCGTACCTATGAACCGGTACCGGGAATCCTTGGGCGGGGCAGAGAAGCGGTAAATCGCCTTTCGATTCCGTGGAGAGCCCGTTAATGTTGTCCATCGAGGGGAACTTTGGCCGCACGCTGCCCACGGGTTCTGCCTCGCAACGAAACAACTATGATCGGTGATCCTCATCGCGATACCCCTTCGCGGAGATTGGAATCGATCCCATCGACCCCGAAGGGAAAATCGCAAAATCCGAGGCGAGGTGCTCGATCGTAGAATACTTCTGCGCCCAACTCTGAGCGTCCCTCGAAAATAGGGAAATCGTGGCGATCGGATGCGATATGGGGAGGGAGGGGGGGGGGGGCGAAAATGGCGAAAGCTGCATTGAGCGCGATCAATTCGTAACATTCGTATTTGGTCTCGTTTGAGATAGTTGAGATGGTTGGTAGTTAGAGTGACGTTTTCACTTACCACGCGAGACAGAGCGAAGGACAGAGCCCGGAGATCGCGTGAGGGCGCCGCAAAGCGTCGAGAGAATTTGAATTTTCTTTTTTTTTTTTATTTTCGTTTGTCGATTTGTCTCTCTTTTTTTCTTTTCGATACATTTATTATTTTTTTTTTCTTTCTCTATATATATATATATGTATATATAATAATATTTCCAATATTTCATCGAAACCGATCATGCCAAGAGTCAAATCATGGACGGGCGGTGGCGCGTGCCCGCAGGGGTACCCTGTCCCAGCATTCAGGTTTTTCCAACCAGTTTCATCATCAAGATCTATACATCTATCTCTATATTTTAATTTTTTTCCATCCAACTCACAATGAATCAATCTCCTTCTCGCGAGATGTGTTTATTCGTTTATAAAAAAATCATCGGATTCGATGAAACTGGTTGGATTCAAAAATGATTACATCGATATCGTGGCTACTTCGCGGGCAATCGATTTTCCAAGATACAACGACGATATATATATATAATGTTCGCTTGATTACGTTTAATTGCACCGTGTAGTTGAAACGCTCAACTGGTCTGGTTACACCGGTTTTCGGGGAAAATCAATTGCCTCGGTAAACAGTTTCGAACCTAGACCAAAGTTTCCCGATACGGTGCGATAAAAGAGATGGTTGGAGCAACGGGCAGCGACACGGATTCGGTATCGCGTATGCGGGGACCGATTTGCATGGCAAAAGAGTCCTCGTTTAACATGCTCGCGTTTATCTTGTCGCGCGACAATAAATTGGCGAGAATCGAGTTTATCGAGGAGAGAAGAAGAAAAAAAAAAAAAAAAAGAAAAAAAAAGAAGAAGAAAACATGATTACGAATCCGCGAAAATCGTTGACGAAAATTATTTCAAGATTGTCAGTGTAGTCCAGGTTCGAAACTGAAGAAACACGATTCTGATTTTCAGTTAGAAAATGTCTACGCGCGAGTGGACTGAAAAAAGACAATAATCATATCGATAAATAATTTTGTTATCGCGCGAATTGTCCTCGAACGATATTTAAAAAAAAAAAAAAAAAAAAAAAGAAAAAGAGAGAACGAATTAAATCAGAATCGTGATTTCGACGAGGATGAAACTCGAACGTTTCTTGTTCTCGTTGCTTCTCACTTACCGGTAATGACGAGTCGTCCCTTGGTAGCCGACAGCCTCGTCTCTCCGGTAAGTCTATGCTTGGTGCGGCATTGATAGGTCTTGTATCCGTCCTCGGGTCCAACATCGCGGATGTGAAGCTCTCCGGAAGGCAGTACCAAGTATTTTCCATCTGTTTCAGTCATAAAAATGATTATATTTCTCGCCTCTTTTTTTTTTGTCGAACAAAAAATACGTGCAACTTTCTAACCAGGGATAATTGACTTATCGGAAAGAACGTTCCGGCCAGTATCGATTATATATATATATATGTATATATTGGAACAGTTTAATCGAGGCGAGAGACGTTTTAACGGAAATTGATATCAGATACGGATCTGGCAATCAGAAATATTCAATTATCCCCGATATAGGACGGCACGATACTCGTACACGCGTGCATTGGACGAGCACAATGCCGTCTTGATTAATACATGCGCCCCATTACTACAAACTTGGCAAAGTTGAACGTTGAACGTATTTTATCCATCATTCGTCTCGTAGTTTCAACGTTCTATTCGAATTCGGGCCCGCTCGTCAAACATTCGAGGGAAATTCTATCGAGTTTGCATTGTCCTCGACGAGGACTGCGCGCAGGATAGCTTCCGATATCCCCTTTAATCCTTTTAATCCTTTTTGCTCCCAACGCTCGAAACCGAGCGTTTAATTTTATCCATCATTAAACACATTTACGTACGTATCCATTTAATACGATCGAATTAACCTAATTAATAATAATAATAATAATAATAATAATATTCGATCGCAAATTTCGAACTACTTCTCTCTACGAATTACGTTAAAATTACGTTTCTTCGTTATATATATTATTACTCGATATATTAATATCAAGAGAAGAATTAGAGGAGAAAGCGAATAAGACGAAAGGATTAAAAAGTCGTGATCGGTATTCGATCCACGTGATGCGTGTTTACGATTCCTCTCGGTGACTTCCGGCTATGGAATAACCACCCGACGACGAACGAGCCCGATGCATGCAATCGACGACTACACGAAAAGAAGCAAGCCACTACTACTACGAAAAACCAACCACAACCACACGTATATTTTGGATCGAGTAGTCACACACGGAGGAAAGAGGGGAGATGCGAGAGAGTGGTTAGTGGGGAGAAGGGGGGCCGTGACAAAAAACATTTTCACGGGGAAGGAGGGAAAGTCTGGGACAGCGCGAGCAGCGGCAGTCAACGTCGTACGAACAATTTCAACGATAATTCGTCGTTTTACTCGTCGAAACGAGGGGCATCTATTTTCGAACGATCTCGTCATTTGCCACGCTTTGTCATATATCGTCGATCGTTCGATTCGAAATTCGAGAGTGGAGGCCGATGGAACGAAAGAGAGCGTTCTCGAAAGAGACGAGGAAAAAAAAAAAGAAATAGCTACGACTCATATCTTTTCTTCTTATTCTTATTTACTCGTGACTGTCACGATTGTAGCATCCTGCTACATCCTTCGCAACCTGTTCTCGTGGCGACCGATTTCCGGCTCCCTCCCCCCTCCTCCTCAGTAATTGCAATCGCGGTGACGACTCACAATGGCGATCGTACCTGTTGCGTGTCTCCGTTCGTCGCGTGCGAATCGAGGGAACGATTTCTCTGCTCGAACGGAACACAGGATCGCAGAGGATATATTGTACAGCTACTGTTATTACGACGAGCGATAACCTCCCGGTCGATGGCCGGGGGGGGAGGGGGGAGGGAGGAAAGAATCCTTGAAAACGTTTGCTTCGCGACCACGTGATTGCGAATGGAAAGCTAACGTCCGTCTCTCTTTTTCTCTCTCTCCTATACGCGGCCTGTACGCGGCGCTAAATGGAGCAAACGTAAGCGTTAGCTCGAGAGGAAGAGAGAAAGAGAAAGAGAGAGAAAGAAAGAGAAAGAGAGAAAAGGAGAAAAGCCTCGCGAGCGTAGACAACGAAAGAGGATGGAAAAAAAAAAAAGTTTCGTCGTTTCCTCTTTTTCTTTTTTATATATCTCTGTTTAATCTTGGTGTACCGTAATCGGTGCTAGGATATATTTCAGTGGTCTCGTCTTCGATCCAAGAGTCAACCTCGACGAATTCGGCGACGAAGCTCGGTATGTGACACTTGATAATTGCGGCGTTCCCCCGAAGGACGTGTTCGTCCATCACGTTCACTGCATACCGCTGCCCGACAACTGCAACCAGACACCGGTTTCCGGTTTTACCATAAGCCGCACATCTACATACACCCTCGTATCCGTGATACGATCGATCGTTGCGATCGGCGGTTCGAGAATTCGTGCGACGCTCGACTCGGCGTAGCTTTTCAAAGCGTTCGAGAGCCTATCTACCATCCCCCCGCGCCCTCCCTATCGTATTCTATCCGATTACGAAGCCGATTCTATCCGATCCATCGATTTTTTTCCCCTCCACGAATCATCGCACGAATCGAAGAACGAACGGCCCACGGCAACGACGAGGGAGCGAAATTTTTTAGCCAATCTCTTTCTCGTTCCATGCTTGAGATCGATACCGTACGACTGTCCATCGGCCACGTAACTGCCGCCGTTCGAATCGATCCATCCCACTACGTCCACGTGGTCGGCGACGAACGATGGAACCTGACACTTGAAAATCGCCGCGTTCCCGCGGATCGCGAACTGATCGTAAACCTGAACCTCGAAGTATTGGGCGACCACTGGAATGAAAGCGTGACAAACAGGGAATATATATATATATATATATATTATATATATATTTTATATATATATATAAAATATATATATATAAAGAGAGAGAGAGAGAGAGACAGTTGTCGATCGACTGCTTTGATCCACTCGATTAAAATTTCAATGAATCGGCGAGTTGCCGACAAACGGATAGCGCACGACGAGAGCGTGACGTCGCTTCTCTTTCCATTCGATGGAAATTAGGCTAGCCGGCGGACATCAATTTCCTCGCCGGTTTGATTAGCCCGGCTTAATCTAATCCGAAATCACGGAACGGGGCCGAGCAAACGGTGCCGGTTTTCCAAACCGTTTCATTTCAGCAGCGCTCGTTCTGGTCGAACGACAAATATTTGACACGGAACGTATTTCCACGGCCCTATTTTATGACCTTTAATGGCAAATGGAACGGCGCAACCACACGTGAAACGTATTTTCTCGTTTCGTTCACGAGAAGATGGCAAAAGTGCGGAGATACTATTGCTCGTCTACGATCGAATAGAAGAAAACGAATAAACGTATTAACGTATGATACGTTAACACGGAATATATACGGAATATAGATTGTACAACGTGAAGTTGTCAATTCTCGGATAAATCAATAGAAGAAAACGAATAAACGTATTAACGTATGATACGTTAACACGGAATATATACGGAATATAGATTGTACAACGTGAAGTTGCCAATTCTCGGATAAATCAATCGCGACTTGTAAACTCTACTTAACCTATATTTTGCTTGCCGTATTTTCACGTTGTCCTCTTGTATTTGCTTTGTGCAATAAGTTTCCAAGTTCTTTTTTGTATTGGTTTAACCGTTTTTTGAAAAGTGAACGATATAGTGTTAAGAAGTTTAGAATAGTTTAGAATGTTATTCCTGTTTACGAGGTTAAGCCTGTAATAAGTGCAGCCGAAGCATATCGAAATATTAGGTTAACTTTCTTAGGAGAAGATTCTATCGAAAAATTCGGGTCTGAAAATGAGAATTTCGAAAATGAGACTGATCTCCAATCACATTTTCAGACATTTGTGTTTCGAAGTGTGTTTATCGTGTAAAACGGTAGAAATTTTTGAATAGGATTATAACCTGTGATGAGAAATGAGAATATTATACGATAATCGTACACGATCTAGACAACGGTTAGATGCTAATGAAAATTCTAAACGAATGTCGAAACCATCGGCCGAAAAAAGTTACAGTGACTGTATGGTGGTCTGTAAAAAGAATAATTCATAAACGAGAAGATAACAGCAGCATCCTATGCCAAGAAACGCGTACATTAGAAATTATATTCACCAGGTATATTCACAACCATTATTTGTTTCGCCATTTACAATTGTTTTTAAAAAGTAAAATATTCGACACTAGACAATCGCAGAATTTCTTCGCGCTAAAGCCATAAAGTTCTATAAAAATGGAATCTCGTTGATTAAAATCAAATATTGACAAAATCCTGACTACGCTCGGCCATTCTCTCGCGGACACTAACTAATTATAATTAAACTTTCGAACGAATCGAGTTACTTCGAGTGATAATTTTACGTAATTTTACGTTTAACCGTTACGATTGATATCCTCGCCCTACAAATATCGTATCCTATCGATCCTCCCCTCGATAAACGGGATTAGATCTCTCCGGATAGAAAAGGCAGAAATCGATACTCGGCAACGTACGATCGACACCCGAGGCCGTGAAATAAATTCCATCGGGCCGCGGTCTACCTATTACCTTTCGCGCTCGATCGTCACCCGAACGAAAGTGGATCGTCCCGTTCGCGGTCGCGTTTAATTCGCGCTCCACGGCCTCGATTAATCCGAGTTAACCTAATCCGGTAGGATCGCGGCGAGTAACGAGGCCACTGCCAGCCGCACCGCTCCATCGCTTTCCCCCGTCGAACAGCTTGCGTTGAATACCGCTAAAGTTTCTCCACTTCTCGCCGATACAAATCCACTCTGCTCTACCGATTCCTTCGTTCCTCCGAGCGTCTGTACACCCTGAGAGGGGGCAAAGCTCTACTGATCGAGCCTTATTGCCCGAGCGAGGGGGATGATGAGCGCGCTGGTAATTCCATTTATTAATTCCATTAAAACGGTCTGGTCGGTTGTTAAGCCGGTCAAATCGAGTTGCTCGCGTTGTTATTATTATTTTCGTGTGAAACGAAACTAAAGGGAATTAAAGACGAGATACGCGAGATTTGTTTGTGCGGGGGGAAAATATTGCATGATCGAAGGGAACCCGACGGTAAATAAGGAAATTAATGCCTCTTTCCATTATTACGGGCCTCTCGATCGACGGAACGATTGTTCTCGATCGATCGGGGGGAAGGGGAAGGAGGAGGAGGAGGAGGGAGAGGGAACGAAGCTAAGTGCTCATCGCGGTCTCGCTAAATATCTTCTCGAGTAATCGAGACGAGAGAGAGAAGGAGTACCCTTTTCTTCTTGGCTGTTGGCAGAGTACGTGGATCCGTCCTCGACAGCCAGCCACTCGATCACGTCTACGAAATCCGCCACAAAGCTCGGCACCAGACACTTCAAGGTTGCCGTGTTGCCGCGCAAGACGAACTCGTCGATGACCCTCGTCTCGTAGAATTGCTGGACCACTGCAACGCGCATTTTTCCCAGAGAGCGTGAAACGGAATCGCACGCCCGTTCGTTACGTAGAGTAAAGGGAGGGGAGGGGAATGTGAAGCGAAACGATGAATTTTTGAAAATTCGGAGAACCGAGGATGGAGAGAAATCGAGGCCCCCGAGTTTCTCTCTTTTTCTTTTTTTTTTTTTTTTTTTTTTTTCTTAAACATAATATTCGGCGAGAAAAGAGAAAAATCGTGACACCATCATCGTAATCATCGCCATCGCCTACCGTAATCCTCTCCGCCCGTGTAAACCGTTCCATCGTCGGCCACCCATTGATCCACCTGTACGAACTCGGACACGAAACTCGGTATCTTGCATTTCATGATCGCGCTGTTCGCCCTTATCACGTACTCGTTCTCGGCCTCGGTGACGTAGAACTGCGAAACGACTGCCCGCGCGGGCACAAACAAGCACAGGATCAACGATCGTACCGTGGAGGTGCATATACAGAGAGATTACACCCGGATGCACGTAACGCAAATTAGATTCCGTCGGATTGGAAAAAGCACGCCTCGACGAACGAGCCCATCCTCTATAATGCCTACCTCGAATCGAATCGACCAACAAACCATGCGAATTCGTCTCTTTTTTTCTCGAACGAAAGGGTTAAGATTCGAAGGAGGAGGAGATTCGAGGAGGAGATTTCGCCGTGCGAACTAATCCTAAACCCTCTCACACGCCGATACCATGCTGGCCGACAGCTGGATCCTCCGGTATGTATACTTCTCCGTCCTCCCTGATCCACGCCTCGACCGTAACGAACTCCGCTATGTAACTCGGGATGCTGCACTTCAATATCGCGCTGTTCCCCCTGATCACGTACTCGGTGAGAATTTCCGGCTGATACGGCTGCGTGACGACTGCACGGGAAAAAAAACAGAGGCGAGAGAACGCCCTCTCGATCCATTCCTCCTTCCACGAGGAGGAAGGAAAGGGGCGCGCCAATCGAAACGTTACGTTCTCATATATTTCTCGAGGTTGGTAATCGGGTATATTTTCTTGAGGAGAGGGCGTATTAATCCCGAGGCGTGCGAGATGGGAGGCGTTCGTTAACCCTGGGATGGTTCGCGTTGCCGCCGCCGTTCGACCGCCGCCAGCCAGACCGGCGTGGACCGGAAACGAATCGTTGCCACTTTGAACTTTTACCAGTAAGCTTGCCGGGGGGAGCAAGGGGGAGGAGAGACAAAGGACGAAGGAAGTAGCAGTACCGTAATCGTTGGTCGGCTTGAAGGTCGAGCCGTCGCTTCCCACCCAGGAATCGACCGACACGAATTCCGCCACGAAGCTGGGTATAGTGCACTTCAAGATGGCTGCGTTTCCGCGTATCACGTATTCGGACACGACCTCCGCCTCGTAGTACTGAGTGACGACTGGTGGAAACGAAAGCTGCGATGAGTGGCCTTCCCTCGAAGGGTCTTTCTCTCTAAATTAACCCTTTCGTTACTATAGTTAGATCTGCGTAAGATACTGTATATTGTGCATACGAGCGATTGGAATTATCGTATTCGTCATCGTACATCGTACGAGATTCCTCGATAATAAAAAAAATCACCAAAAAATAAAAAAATGCCGACTACGTATTCTCGAGTAACGTGCAGATTTTTGCTCTCGTTCGAAGGGAGTGTTCGCCCGTAGCGAAAGGGTTAACGTCGCGCTAAGGATCGACTCTCGATCGTCGGGAAAACGAGGAATTTCGAGCGAACGATCTATATCCAACTGTTTCATCATACGACGTTGACGGATCGCTGGGACTCGTCGCTGCGAAGTTAACTTTCGAAAATAACTCCTCCACATCCTACCGTTCTTCTCGTCCGGATTAAAAGAGTTCCCTTGATCGTCCTGCCAGCCAACTACTTGAACGAACTCCGCAACGAAGCTCGGTATGCTGCACTTGAGAATAGCCGCGTTCCCGCGTATCACGTACTCGTTGTTTACTTCCGACTGATAATACTGGTGTACCACTACAATATATANATATATATATATATATATATATATATATATATATATATATACGTATATAGACGGAAATGAGTCGAATGAGCTTTTAAATTGATTACTACGCGAGCCGTGCGAAATCTGAAATTAACCGTGGCATTATCGATCATCATCATTGTTTCCTGTATATATATATATATATATATGCGTCTCGATATGCGGTTTCCATCGATGACGTAATATACGTGTAACGTATGTAGACAGGCGAACGAGACGAGTTGTAACGCACGACGTTGACGACAGCTTCCCGTAATGGTGACGTATTCTTAGCCGAGGTGCGGTGCGCTCGTCGAGCAGATCGATTCGTCGGCCCCTGGCATCTTACACCGCAGCCGCGAGAGCCGTTGGAGAAGAAGGTTTGGAATTCAGGAGGAGAGCGGCGTCGAACGAGCGTCGTCTTTGACTCTGTGTATGCGCGCCCGTATTCCACGCATGTGCGGGCACAGAGAAAACTATAACGCCAGTCACTCCGAGGACTAGGGGAGGGGAGAGGAGAAAGCGAAGCGAAGGGCGTAAGAGAGTATAGAGAGGGGGGGAGAGGAACGTCTCTCTGACGTCGACGTCGATGTCGACGATGCGCTCCAATTATTTGGGCCACCACGCTTCACCCTCCCGATTGAAATAACGAGCTGGAGTAAGGAGAAACGTTAACGAGACCGGTATATATATCGCGTGCATCGATTACACGAGAGCTTTTTTCGCGGTGGAAAAATCGGAAACGATCTGCTCGACGAGCGCGACGACGAAAATGTCGGGAAAAGATGGATGACGCGAGCGATGATCCGTCTACCGTAATCGTCGCCGGGCACGAACTCCTCTCCCTGATCGGTATGCCAGGACAAAACCTTGACGAAATCGGCGACGAACGACGGAACGACGCACTTCAAAATTGCACTGTTCCCACGGATCGCGTATTCCTTGTTCACGTCCGTGTCGTAGTATTGCGCCACCACTGCGACAATGATTTCAGTTNAAAAAAAAAAAAAAAAAAAACGAACGATCAAAAGTGTGGCGAGAGAGTAAACGCCGCCCTCCGGCCTCTCCGTTTTTTTCCTCCCCCCCCCCCCTCCTCCCCTCCTATTTAGAATTATCACTCCACGGCGCTCTGCTAATACTCGCGCCCCTCGTAAGTGCTGTAACTGGGTCAATTACCGTATCACATTATCGTGGAATTACGAATTTTCACATGGTGCAGAGAACGGAGATCGGAGAGAGAGAGATCGAAGGAGGTGAAATCGTTGAAGGGGGGGGGGGTAGCAGAGACCGACGAGGGGGCGAATCTTCTTGCGAAGATAAATAATAACAGAAATAACGGCGGCGGCAGCGATTACTCGTCGTGAAAGGTACGCCTGCGCTAATTTTCGAATCCGAATCCGTTGCACAGGAAATATTGTGCGATAATTGCCGCTGATGATATTGCTCACCGTACGTGTCGCGATACGTATTGCAAAGTATCGACCCAAAAGTTCGAAAGTATTCGTCGCTCGTTCGCTGTTCTAAACAGCTGGAAAGAAAACGGGTTTTTAAGGTGTCCCGTCGCCTGGCCAATCCTTCCCGTCGTACCATTGTCTTTCGATTCAATTTTTTAAAATTAAACGGAAGGATATTTCGATAAAAGATTCCCACTGATAAATTCATCTTTTCTAAGAAAAATATTTGGAAGAAGATTAAAAAAAGAAATATTTGATTATTTTTTTGCAATTTTTCTCTTTGTTGTTACTTGTTCTTTGACAACGGCAAGACGCTTTCGTTTTTTTTTTTTTATATATATATCGTTTTATATATATATATATATATATATATATATATATATCGTGGTTTAAGCCTTTCGCTTCATTGTCTCGTAAGAAAAGTGACAGATGGCCAGGCGACGGCGATGACTTCCCGCCGTAACTTCGGAGGAGAAAAGGACAACCACTTACCGGCTCTCACGTTAACATCTCGGCTGTGAACTGAACCTGCTGGGGAACGCGCCAGACAGCTGTAAACCTGAGCATGAACCTCTTGACGGTAATCCTCGGCGCGGAAAGGGGGGAAGACCAAATTTCCGTTCGGTAAGACCTGCACAAAGAATCGTTAAAGAATTAATAGATCGATCTTTCGAGTCGTCGAGCAATTAAACGATTCGATGCGACACGCGACGACACGTGGGTGAACGTTCGAACGGCGGAAAGTTAATTAATCGTTATTGCACAAAGTGATGATGTAACGAAGAGGGAATAAATACTTTGGAATCGTTTGCAATTATAATTCCCTCCGAGAGAGATAAAGCGATACCTGTCTGAGTCCAGGAACATCCCCAACAGCGCTTCCGTCAGCACGAACCCAAATGATATCCGGTTGGGGGTTTCCTCTTGCCTGGCATTCGACGACAGCTCCGGTTCCGTTCGAGAAGTCGACTCGATTTGGTGGTTCCTTTACGAATACCGGTCCCATGGATTCATCCTCGGCGCAAGCCACTGTGGAAAAGAGAGAGAAGAGCTCTGGTCAAGTTTAACGGGAGAACGCATTGGATATTACGCGGGGCAATCTCGATCGTTCCGCCAGCTCGTCTCTTCCGCCGTGCCACTTGCAACGCGGCCACCGAAGGGGATCGATTAATCGAAACTGTCAACGGCATAAGGAACTTTTGTTGCGTGTCTTTCAGCCTCGCTTATCATCCGTCCGCGCCAGGATACGCGACACCCACGTTCAATTGGCGCGTCGCCAATTGCAGCGAACAACAGGTTGCCGGTCTGCTATTGAATAATATGCTATCAACGTCACGTGACCATAAGGGAGACGGCAATGCGTGATTCCTTTTCCGCCTCGGAGATTTCGAGTCATCTACCTAGCCTAAATCCATCGTTCGTTGTTCCAACTCGCTTAACGCGTTACTCGTGCTATAAATTCTTCCCTCTTTCTTCCTCCCCCTCTTCGATCGATCAAACATCCTCCAATTCACTCGTATTTATTTTAAATTTCGTTGCACGAGATTTCCGCGTGTTTCCGATTATACAATAGTCTCTTGTTCCATTTTCGTAATCGCGTACGATTTTATAGCCACGTTTACGACGAGGCGAGAACGGATAAACGCAGCGTCGGTGTGTAAAATCCAAGTCACGGAGAACCGGTTATCGAGGCATCCGCGCGCCGATCCAACCGAGGGAACGAGCTGCACAGACACAGAAGGCAGGAACAGGTGTTTCCAATTTTTCTCCTTTATCTGAAATTTTTTGTATCCTTGTGCTCACCCAGTCCTCGACAAAGCGCATTTACTTGACTAGTTTTTTCGAAGTGATCCCCTTAATCCGATTCGAGACTTCTATAGCAACGGTCGTTTAGATTTATATTATACGTGGGACGGAGAAAAATATTTTTGCGAAAAATAAACGCTTTTGTCGTAACGTGAATGAACAGCTTGTTCATTAACGAATTGCTTTTATACTCGCGCACAAGGAGAAGAGAAAAGGAGGATGAAAGAAAGATTGATCGGTGACCCGATAAACTCGATGTAAAAGTGTTTTTTCGTTAAGTTGCAGCGTTACGCGTTCACGATCAAAGACGAGATTCTTCTCGGTCGATAACCGCTCTGTAATCTATATATAGGCAAGCTTTGAAACACGTTCGGACACGCTAAATCCAATATATATTTCCAACAAAGATATATACGAGCATATAATATACACCGGTGTGCCGTGTACCCGTTCGCACGATGGAAATGATGCGCGTGTGATTCACGCGCTTATTCTTCCACGCATGCGCGCATGTTGGAACTCGAAACATCGTGACGATCATAATAATAATAGGAGGAAAGAGTTTTAAGTTCCGCGGTCGAAAATCGTTTTTTTTTCGACTCTACTCAATTCATCGAGACACGTAATACGAGTGTCGATAAATGTGTCGCGAAGAAATGATTGACAACAATGAAGAGCAAAATTTATAGTTAAGTTACGAATAAAATTATTTCCATAAATTACTTCGATAATTTATCGTTGAAAGCACAATAATAGTTGAAAGTAATTGTAATGCCAAACGTCCGAAATTATACGAGAAACGGATCGAATGTAATAAATACAAATAAATATTATTTAAGCATTTTAATAAGTAATTATTTAAAGTAACTTTATTCGAAAATTTTATTAGTTATTTTAACTAACTACTTTTTCAATTAGATTAATCTTTTGATTGGCATTTCAAGAGAAATCAAGCATCGACGAAAATAATTATCATCCGAATCTTGCATCCGACTTTTAGGTCAAGTACAGGTTCCGTTGGTTTCTTCGATTTAGTTCTTGAGACTATTTTTGGAGGAAAGCTGACTCTCCTGCTTCGTAACATTTTTTTTTTTCTTTTTTTCTTTCTCCACAACGCGACCTTTTTATCTCTCCTTTCTTTCTTTTTCTTTCTGCGTTTTATTAAAAAGTCTTTGCCAACGTCCATCGAATCACCGCCTCGTGTTAGAAAAAACGCGACTGAATCAAAGGATTCACCTGGCGAAGCATGGTACTCGAACCAGCTATGATTCTCTTTCGAGCACGGGTGTCCGTTCTTAGAACAGCGGCAGCTGTTCCTTTCCCTTCGTTTCCTCCTTCTCCCCTCGTTCTCGATCTTTTCTTCGGCAGCTGCAGTCCGTGCTCCGTTTCTACCTACTACCTACGCCTCTCGTGGACCTTTCACGAGCTCATGGATTCGAAACGAAGCAACGCGAGATCGCATCCGTTTAGCTAGATTTCCCATCTGCCCTATATTATTCCCCAAGGGAACGAAATTCCTTTTTTCGAGTCACAAAAAAAGAAAAACACGAGGATGTTGATTCTTTCTACTCTCTCGTTGCAACAGTATCGATCTGCTAAGAGAAAACGTGACGAGGAAGCTGTTTTTATTCTATTATTATTAAATCAAGGACATATCTTTCGAGTGTGAGAAACGATTCAAAGTCTCGAATTTCACGATCAATTCGGATTAATTTAAGACAATTGCAAAATTCGTTGCGTCTCTTTCTTCTCTATTCATTTTTTCCATTGATGGGATAAATTCTTTTCGAAGAACGTGCTATCCGAAAGATGAGTAACTGCGTCAGCTGCTGACCTCACGGCGTGTTATATGTGTTCGATGCATAGACGATTAGATGGTCGAGATATAACGCAGTAGCGTATGCTTTCGACCTTATCTTTAACGACCTTATCTTAATAACGCAACCACTTCCACGAACCGAGACATTGTTGCATCACGATCGAGATCCATTCTCTCATCCAATGATATCGAATTCACGGTCATCGCTCACCATTGCAAGTGATATTTTTATTCATATTTTTTTTTTCTTTTTTCTTTTATTTTTTTTTTTTTAACGACTAGTTGACTCACCGTTCGTCATTGCCAGAACAGCCAAGAGTAGCATCGTCGTTAGATACGTGGGTATATTACACCCTCCTCCTGGAGGATCGAGCCACATTCTGATCCTGTCTTCCTTGATCGCACTGATTCTCACCTAATTCCACAGAAAAACACGCGAACTTGATTGAATTGAATTGAATTGACCGATTCACCAAAGAATTAGAGTCACGTGCACGATCGCAACAGCCACGCCTATGTACAGTTATATAATTCGAGAAGAGAAAAGGATTAAAAATCTAAAAATTTTTTTTCCGCCTCGAAAAGGAGCATTAGAAGCTAGTATTCATTTCATACGCGCGCTATCGATGAATACGTTTTGATTCGAATGACCTTTGCACGGTTCAAGGCCGACTGGTTGCTGTTCCTTCATCCATCAATGCGACGAGATCGCGTCGAATTTTTTCGAGGTCGTCGCGGAGATTGTCATGCGATCGGTGCAAAGCCATTAAGCGGAAGCGGAACACGTCATCGGTCGTACTTGATAGTTCCCTCTATCTTTACATTCTCATACGACCGATATCTTGCACGTGCGATGCGTATCAAAGAAACGTGTTTATCTTGGCGGAAATAGAAAAAAAAAAAAAGAAAGAAAGAAAGAAAGAAGCGTGTACGACGTGAATGGAGCCTTATTCGAATCTGGGATGAAGATCTTGGAGAAAAAGATTCCTCCAAGCCCTTTTCGCCACGAAATTACGAGGCCTGTGCGCGTCAACGTTTTAAGCAAGTTAAAAAGCGAAGCGGCCGAAAACGAAGAAAAAACATGAAAAAAGGAGGAGGAGGGAAAAAAAAGGAAATCAATGCATGAAAACTGAAAGTGCACGAAGCCTTTAGCATCCGTCGGCTCGTGATAATCCCTGGAACACGTTGCCGCTCGTTTTTCAAAAGCACCGGTGATACAACGTGCACGTGCTGAATCGTTGATAGCATGTTGGTTAGGTAGAGAAGTGAACGGGAGAGACGAGAACGACGGAAGAGAAGCAAGAAGAGGGACGGAGAAGAGGAAGAGAGATGGAGAAATGGGATGGAGAAAGGAAGAGAGAGAGAGAGAGAGAGAGAGAGAGAGAGAAGCAGCGAAGCACGGAGTAGTGCGACTCGTCACGGAGCTGCTCCCTCTCGGTGGGTTTATTGATCGCAGGGTGCGGAGCGGACCAATCTACCCCTCGTGCAGCGTACGCCATGCTGGCTGGTATTTGCCCGAACCAGTCCGCTTGCTTGCCAGCCTGCCCGATTCTTCTCCGTCAGCCTTCGCTAAATCTGGAAAACCCACCCCCGCCCCTATAAAACTCACTATGTGGACCAGAAATACTATTCTCGTACTTCTCATTACCACGAATCTCAACTGAAAGATGCAGATGCGAAGACAAATTACGAATAAATTAATATCATCGTGTTATTGTTCGTATAATTAATCTTGACGTTAATACTAATACTACGACCGATAGATCTGGGCCATCCACAATATCTATCTGACTTTGACTAAGGTTACCACCCTTGCACGCGATGCGGATAAACTTTTGTCTAATCTTCTTTCGGCAAACATCTCGTCTTTTTTGCGTCGAGAAAAGATTCGCGAAAATATGTATCATTCGCGAACAATGAATATTTTCCAATAATATCCGTTGAATCGTTTTGTAATTGCAGTGGATCGTACGTGGAATCGTTTTGTAATTGCAATGAAAAAGAATCGCGTGCTGCGTCTTTCTCGTTTCTGCGCTTATGATTATTTTGTATTTTGGGATGAGACAATCGACTTGTCAGTTTCTTTCGATGCAACAAATCTCCGAGTACATCGACCTAACTTTTACCAAGATACGCCAGCGAGCTGTTGCGATCACGAGTTGTTGCAAGAGAATATTATCTAGAATAGTGAAGCTTTCAATCGGAAATGATCACCCGCGATAATCACACTCTCTACGTTCACAGAACACATGCACACGCGTACACACCCACGGAAGATTTCGCAAATCCTCGAAAGATTGATTACCGACAAATCTTTTCGAATTCGCCTCTTTCTTTTGCGATAATCGCACGCAAATTTCAAATAGGCGAATTCGAACGTGACTCACACGTGCAATCTTTTACACAACGTTTTCACCGGTTTACGTACCGACGACACGACGATCAAATCGTAAAGATACACGCTGACCACACCGGTACAACGAATAGAACGAACACTCTAGGTCCGTAGACGACCGAAGAGTGCGGCGAGGAGCGTCGTTTGCTTCGGGACAGCGGCTGCTCCACGGGATCTTTGAGATCGATGGTGGGGGAATCTACGTCGTGATTCGTTGTTACCTCTCATTGTAGTGGGGACGCCGGTTGGTCGACCTTTGTCACACGCGACGGAAGCTATACTTTCGCACCAAGTTCTTTAATTCTAATTGTTCTATGTTTATGTATTGTCACATTACCAAATTTCACTTTCTTAAAATATTTTTTCACGTATAAATGACCCAGTTTTAATAAACTATTCCATTTTTACGCATGTTTCTGGCGCCTTTTGAATTAAGAATTAATTTTTGAATTAAGAAGAAGATTTTACTTATCGAAAGAAAAAGAGATTTTAGAAAATTTGTTATTGTATATAAAAGTTTTCATAAAAAAATTTCTATTTGAAAGATTGTAAAAATTGTAATATAATATAATCAATATTTAAAATTGTTTTATATTTAATTCTATCTTATATATGATATTCTCCGTTGATAATTGAAATTCTATATTCTTCAGACTTTCAAATATTTGAATGATTCATACGATTACGATGAATGAAAATCGAAAGTACCGTTTTGTAGTGACGTAAAAGAATACCGATACCGGAACGTCATCGAAATATGACTACTTTATTGACAAATTTTCCAAACTCGTGTGAATTATTGCACGAGTTTTGTCAGTGCGACTCTTGATAAGGAAGGATTCGTCCGTCTCTTTGCCACGAATTAGTGTCAAACATGATCGAGAGAGAACAGACAAAAAAGGATATAAAAGAATTAACGAAAAATGACAAGTATTCGATTTTACTTCCAACTTATAACGAAATCGAAAATTTACCTATAATTATTTGGCTTATTATCAAGTATATGGATGAGAGGTAATTATCGTGGCAACATAACCTCAAATGTGAATGAAATCACTGCTCCTGAAATGGTGTAATTATACAATTATAAATATGAAATCAAAAAGATTGATCAGTCAAGTGAAAATATGCAACATTCTAGCGATCTGGATTATGAGATAATCGTGATAGACGATGGTTCTCCAGATGGAACATTGGATATGGCCAAACAGCTGCAAAATGTGTACGGTGAGAACAAAATTGTTTTGAGACCAAGAGAAAAAAAACTTGGACTGGGCACAGCTTATATGCATGGGATTAAACATGCTACAGGAAACTTCATTGTCATTATGGATGCAGATTTGTCTCATCATGTATTTATCTCTTTATAGTCTTGAAACGCTTTAGTTTAAGAATAACATTGAATTTGTTATTTATTATCTATATTTTTATTTTTATAGCCCAAATTTATACCAAAAATGATAGAACAACAGAGATATCTTGATCTAGATATTGTTAGTGGCACCAGATATGCACAGGGTGGAGGAGTTTATGGATGGGATTTCAAAAGAAAACTAATAAGTAGAGGAGCAAATTTCTTAACACAACTTTTGTTGAGACCAGGAGCAAGCGATTTGACAGGAAGTTTTAGGCAAGTAATTTAAAATTAAATAATATAAATTCCATAATTAATAAATGAATCTTATACTATTAAAATTATAGGTTATATAAAAAAGATGTACTGGAAAAGCTTATACAGTCTTGTATATCAAAAGGATATGTCTTCCAGATGGAAATGATTGTAAGAGCAAGACAATTCAAATACACTATAGGAGAAGTTCCAATTACGTTTGTCGATCGTCTTTATGGAGAATCGAAATTGGGAGGATCGGAAATTTTCCAATTTGCAAAAGGTCTTCTATATCTTTTTGCCACCACATAATATAATATATATTTAAAAAAAATAACATTCCTTCTGTATAAAAATTATATGTAAAGAAAAAAAAGTGTATATTATGTTTTTTAAATAAATACTTATAGTTTAAATTTTTTTATCGATATTAATAAATTAATAATAAAGAGCAAATGCATTGGTGCGAAACGAAAACACACGTGTATACATACACGTGGTTGTGAATGACGGAGACGGTACACATATAACGATTCTGTAGCATGCGATTCCACCCTCGCCGCACCCTCTGACGTCACACAGCCTCCGTTTATTGATCCATTACGAAATTACAGTCTATATTTCGACTTGAGCAGAATGCAAGACGGTGCCATAATGTGCCATGTACGGAAACTAGCCAAGATGTGAAAAAATATTCCTACGATTCTGTAAATTCTAATTTTCCAATCACACATCCAATCATACAATAATAACAAATAAACTTTCGTAATTAATCCATATACGTTCTTTTTTATCTATTCTCTACGAATAAATGGAAACAATTTTTTTTTTTTACAACGTAAAATTAACGACGAAAATACCGACAAATGCTACCCAATATTTTATTATTCCCTTCGAAAAATGTCGAAATTATTTTTAAAAAAAATAATCTACGGAATCGTTGTGCTTGCTCCTCGATCGATCATTTTCTTTTTTTTTTTTTTTTTTTTTATTTCTCGATAAAAAATGTCTCTTTTTGCGAAAAGTATCTCCGTTCCAACGGGCAAAAATGCTCGAGGTCCCGAGATCAGAGTTTGTCCGTTCGTGGAACGGGTGCAGTTATGTCAGTTCTGTCGCAAGCTTCGCCGCGGCCAGACGTGCAAGTGGCGTTGCTTACGCGCCGGGGTGAAACTTGCAAGCTCCCCCTTATCGAGCTTTCAAATGGCTGTGCCTTTTAGATTTTGACATTTTCTTCATCTCCCCTTCTCCTGTTGTACACATTTTTTTTTTATTGCCTTTGTATTGTTCAAGTATATGTAGTTCCGATACGCCGTTTTCGCCACTAGGAAGTCATCCCCCGACATGCCACGAAAAATCGGATTCAACGTCGTATACGCAACCAGTAAGAGATCATCAGATTGTGATTGTGAAATATTGTATATCGAACGACGATAACCTCGAGTTGTGCGTATATTTCTCCTGATTCTCCGAGGATTGGCAATATTGAACCGCACACATACGTAGTATTGGGAAAGAGAATTCGTCGGAAGGATATAAAAATATAAGGAATTGTTTGCACGCGAGACATCGATTTTTTTTTTCTCTCTTTCTACACGGAAAAAGAATTTTTTCATTTTGAAGTTGCTGTTTTTAAGAGGAAGGAGGGGGGAAAAAAAAAACGAGTTAATAACAACGAGTCGACACGTGCTTCACCGCATCTCGTTAAAGATTGCATACGTATCGCTCTCGAGCGTAATAAAAACGTAACCGGTGTCCAGTTTTTTTTTTTTTTTTTCTTTCAAACGATTAAATATTACACGGTGATATGACACATTGACAAGTTTCTTCGATTGTTGTGATTATAATTTTGCGAAGCAAGGCACGGTATCGCGTGACGAAGTATTTTTAATGGTCCATCGTTGAAAATATAATTTTCACAATGTTATCGATTACGTGGAAATCTTCTTCCATTTTTATCCACAATAGAATGCAATCGCGCAAAGTAAGAACGATTTGAAGATAAAACGAAGAAAAGAAAAGAAAACGTGCAACGAAGTTACAGTTTTTGTAACAAAATCGGAAATACATTCCGATGGAAAAAATATTCTTCGAGCAGCTAAAAAAAAAAAATATTATTCGCTCGTAACATTCATGATACGATATTTATGATAAATGATAGAATTGTGATTTTTTTTAAAAATACGTTTGATTGATTTTTTTCTACATTTAAATTGCAAAAAACGTTTAAACGAATAATGTCTCGCAGGCGAAGAGGACAGGCACTCCTCGTTAGAATTGAATGTCCATGGGCCGACGGTAAGGGGTTGGCAAAGTTCACGAAGATGTACATATCCCCAAGAACTCATTCTACGCCTACACGGCCCGACGAAGCTTACGAGAATACAAGTGTTGGCTCATCAATATTTAATTCGTAAGTTACAATCTATAACCCGCTTTTTCACAAAAGTCCTACTTTCCATTCTCTCGTTTATTATCGCGAAATTCATTTCACAAGAATTCATTTAATGGCCGCGATATAGTGTGGAAAGTTTCGTGATTATTCGTGAAAAGCAATTCGGTGAACAATGAGAATCGAATTAGCACGGGAGCCCCGGTTTCCCCGAGGCTAGATCGTTTTCTTGCCCTTCTCACTTCACCCTCGTTTCTTATTTTAATCCGGTATAGTTGAATACCATACCCAACGTGCAATACCAACGTTTTCATTTTTTTAGGAATTCCCTTCCTCTTCCTCTTCTTCTTCTCCAAACAATGTGTTAAAAGAGAGGCAGAGTCTATTCTATTTGAAAATAATAAAAATTGCTTGCAGCTGAAAAACTTGAGATTTGGACTTCGAGAGAGGAGAATGCCTCTGTGACGACAGAGTTTAGCTATTTGGGTTACATCACGTTGTCCGATAACGCCTCGACCATGTACAAAAGTAGAGAGTTGAAGAGCGTTGCTCTCCCGGAAACGGAGGCGGTCTCGCTTAAACTGAGACTTCACAAACCGCACAGTAACGCGCACAATGTTTATCAACAGGTATCCCACGACAACGCAACAACGGCGAATATTAAAGAGATGATGCAATTTGAAATTTTAAAATTCGTAGGTCGGCCTTATCGCTATTAATATTCTGGGCGAGCCTTACGGGCAAGAGCTGACCGGTCAAGGAGATGCGCCGTACAATCCGCATTACACGTCCCCCTACGACGATTTGGCGTTCGAGATGTACGTGGACCGCGAGGTGGCCAAAATCATAAGGCAGATGGAAGCGAAAAAGTTGCAGGCCGTGGAGGGTGAGTTTGGAGGAATTGTACGAGCGTTACGTTTAAACTTTGTCTGCATTTTTCAGAGGAGAGATTCGAATACGCTTCGAAGCTGAAAGTGGCGATGGAGAATTTAAGAAAAGCCGGTGAACGTCTCGGGAAATACGAATTGGAGAAGAAATACGCCATAGCGTTGGAAGATTACGACAAGGCAAAAGCGAAAAAGGCACAAGCGCAACAATACAGGCAGCAAGTTT